CCCCCCCCGTTTCCAAAACTTGTATTTCAGTCGAAAGCCGCGAAAAGTGTGCTAACCTACAGACACACCCCTAGTGCACGAAGACACTAAGACTTGGTTTGGGGCGTTTCTTGGCCAGCTACGCTGGCGCCGTTTTATGCAGTGGCGCCGTCTCAGGCGCGTCGACCGACATACACAAGTGGACCAACGTGATCATGCCCTACCCTCGATCCAGTCCACGAACCAGTGGATCACGTGTTCGACACTTAGTTACTTGGTCGGGCTGGCACCTATAGATCAGGCTCACGTAAACAGCACATCGCTCCTGAACAGAGGCCTTTTTCTGATATAGGCGCAAACGGCCAACTGACGTCAATGTGCGCTGTGTATATGATAAATGTGCGCTCAGAACTGGTTTACTTCTGAAGACACACACCGGACGAACTAAATGTTAGTGGTTAAATTTTAGTGCATATTCTTGACCTCCACACACCTGTCCGACCAAGTAAGGGTAAAAACATATCGGTCTTGAAACCTCTTCTCGCACATCTGGTCAATAAGTATATCAGAGCCAACGCCAAGAAGCTGTTCTCTTGTCTACTAGGGGTTGAAGAACTGCCCTTAAGGCCAAGCCAACAGGTGCTACTAACAGCCGAAGCAGTGGCTTTTCGGCCTGTGAAATGGGAGCTTTGTTGTTAGCAGTCATTAGTGCATGGGCTCTGTCTTCCATGGCCGACTCTAGGTGGTGATCACACGTCGCTTCCGACTCCCTACTGACAGTCCTGTGTTCCTCGCCTGTTTAGCGATAAGCATCGCCCAAGCCCTATCCCAACGTCCCTCTCCTACCTCCAAAGACCACAGCGTGCCGACTTCGTTATGCAAGCGACTGGCAACGAGGAGTGTAACTAAACCTCGTTATTCATGGTTCAAATGTCCCTTCTCGAAGTAATTTTAGTGGTCTGATGATGGAGTACGGAAAACGCATGCTTACCAATTGACTTTTCAAGTATAGCATGAGAATACTCACAGATATTAGGAATCTGTTGTGTTGATCTATTTACACTCAGAGTTGAAGTAATTTCAACTTTGCTAAATGCGAACTGGCTGGGG